ATAAGAATAGGAGCCACTCCATTGTTAGTTACAGTAACATACAATCATCGTTTTCTTTAGTCTCACACTTCATGTCTTCTATTAGAAATTTAACCAATTGAGTGTGTTCATTCTGACGTGCAGAATGCAATGGCATGTGTCCCTTCTTGTCAATGGAGTGTAATAAACTGATGGAGTGAGAATGATGACTGGTGACATGTTTGATAAAATGAAGGTGACCTTTGAATGATGAATAATGAAATATATTCCAGCGATCCTTATCTGTTAGGCTCAGACTACACTTGTAATCCTTCACATATAATTCCAGTAGTAAAATATCACCAGATTCGGCAGCATAATGAATTGGTAGTTTACCATTACTGTCAGCTTGATGAGGATCTAACTGATAGGTAGTTATTAATTCTTTAACAAGAGGTAAGTTAAGAGACAGTGAGGCATAATGTAAAGCAGTGAGGCCATTCTTAGTAACTGCAGTAGGAGAAAAACCTTGTTCAGTAATAAGATACTCAACTAAATCAAAGTTACCACTCAGTGCAGCATGATGTACTAACGTGCGTCCTTCATTATCTGTTTTATTAATATCACAATGCTGTACCTCAATGAGATATTGAGTGATACCAATATGACCATGACAACAAGAATGATGGAGACAAGTCATACCATACTTACTAGTGATATTAGGATCACTGTTATGATTATTAATAAGATATTTAACAGAATTAATACTACCTGACCAGCAGGAGTAGACTAATGGTGTACGACCATTAGTATCAGTATCATTAGCATTGAGATTATACTGAGATATGATATAACTTAATACACTAGTAGAACCTGAACAGGCAGCATAATGTACTGGAGACATACCATCATTATCTAAAGTACAATTGATATTATATTCTTCTAATGCTTTCACTAGCAATGTACTGCCACCCCATGATGTTAAATGAAGTAATGACATACCATCATTTGTAGTGGCATTGATGTTAAAGTTAGGGTAAGTGCTAGCTTTCTTGAGAAGTGAAGAAAACATTTTAACTCTTTCATTTCGTTTGATAAAATCAATATTTGTTTTTATTCTAGTATTATTAATAATCTCAATAACTGATGCATCACTTTGTGCCATAAGCTTACTACACACAATACCAGCTGGAATCTGTATACCTGCATGACATGTATAATGTAAACATGACCAACCATCATTATCATTAACTAATAATGCTTCATTACCTTGAATACTAACAATATACTCAACAACTGATGATGAAGCATACCATGAAGCATAATGAAGTGGAGTCCTATTATTTTTATCCTTTACATCAATGGATAATTGATATCGATTTAAAAGATACTTAAAAAGCTCAACACTTTTATTATTCATAGAATAACAAGTATAATGTAGTATACCAGCCCCTGACATTGTTATGTCATCTGGTGAGAAGAGGTTTAATGATTCAAGCTTGTGGACTAATGCTAACTCTCCACTTAAACAAGCTAATAATGATAAAGAGGTACTATTAAAATTAATCTGAGAAATATTACAACTTCTCTCAATAAAGAATTCCACTAGGTCAGAATGGCCCCCCATTGCTGAGTACAGAAATGCAGTGTTATTGCTATTGTCTGGTTGATCAGGAGGAACGTCACACGTGTCTACTAGATATTGTACTATAGATAAGTGGCCTTTATAAGATGCCATATGTATACTAGATACACTATTATCATCACCTTCATTAGGATCAATACCATATTGATGAATGAGTAGTTGAAGGATCTCAATGTGTCCACCATATGATGCAGAGTGTAATGGAGTCCAACCATGAAGACCACGATGATATGTGCTGTAGCCAAACTTGTTAAGAAGCCATTGTACTTCATCTTTTAATCCTCTCCAAGCTGCTTCATGTAATGGTGTACTGGTATTCTCATACCATAATGGATCACATATATCTATAAATGAAGAATATTATTATTAACACATGTATGTAATGCTGTTTGACCATTTCCCACAAGAGGGATTGACTAAAGGTCAGTTCATGTATTTACCAATATCAGTGGATGAGT